TAACTTGCAATCACAGATACCAAGAAGATGCATTCTGAATGTGTACGCTTACTTCTTCAAAGATTTTTATCTTTCGAATCAAATAGACGGATGTGGTTGAAGTTCGTTCCGGGAATCGAGGGGGGAGGGGGGGGGGCAGTGACTTGTGCATCAGCTAACCACTGTACTCATTGTATGGGTTGCTTACGCATTTGAATTGCTACTACGAATCTGAATGGAGGTCGAAATCGGGTGTCTATCCCAAAAACGGATTCCATTTATGCCAAATACTCCATCCTTCTAGACCATTACTCATGTATCTCATTAGCCAGCTCTTTTTCATCACTTCCGTATCCCAGCATCCCAGCACTTCCTAGCGAACTCTCAATAGGAGCAACAATTCTTGCATTTACTGTAACAAAATTTTAAACAAAAAGTGTTGTTCACAAGAATTCCAGTTCAAGCAGTCATCAACACACTGCGTGGGGAACGTTTATTTGAAAATGATACGGCCGCTTGTTGAGCTGGAGTTTCCGTGTAATACTCATCAGAGGCGGGTCGCCAGGGCACCGATTCTCGCACATTACATCCTCATCCAGACAAACTAACATGACTTGGATAGGGTGTTAACGAGTGGTAAGTAATACTCTTTCTGATTCCTGATCATCGATCAATTCATACTTATCAGTACATGTAGGGCGAAGGTGGAGTAGTGGCAAGTGGCGCACTTCACACACGCATGGTCGCGTGTTCGAATCCCGGATCGATATCCGCCTAGGTCAACCAAGCCTTCCATCCATCCGGAGTCGGTTAACTGGTACCAGACTCGTCTGGGAGCATAAAAGCACTGACTTGTACATCGGCTGGACCACCGCAAATAATTGTATAGGACAAATACGCACTCATTACGCCACTACGATTCTGACTGGAAGTCGAGTGCGGGGCGCATCCCTCAGACGGGATTGATTAACGCCAAAAAACTTCGAACTTCAACTTTTGAATATATGTATATCGATATCCCGGAATTCTGGTATCGATCCCAGCAGAAGTCACTGGATCAGCCGTTAAATTTTCGAGTTATTTGTTTTCCCTACATTGTGAACAACCTGCAGGGGATCGCAGTGCAGTGGCAGTCAAATGCCATGCTTTAAGAGCGCGTAAGATCAATCCGATTGCTCGCCTTTTTCCATAGAAACAGATTAACGGGCTTAAAGATTTGAAATCACCTATTAATTAATTTGTCCTGATTACAATGCTTAGAATTCAGCTTGAGATGGATCCTGTGGATAAGGCATGTGTAGTGAGCAGCTATGTAGAATATCTAGATTGCGCTAAGGGCTGAGTTTTTCTCACAACATACTTAATTATCGTTTAGCCAGTGATTTTGGGGCACAAAACATTAGTAGAACCTTTAGATCCAGAAAACTGTGGTGGATGTACCTTATTTAGGTTGCGTGCGTGACCCTGGGAGATGGGAAGGGGATCTCAAAGTTCAGTAGAGTTTTGGAAAGGTTTGATCGAATGTTAACATATTTTCTATCCAGTATGTAAGTTCTGAAGAAGGCTTAAGTACCGAACCGGCAGATGCATGAAATTTTTAACTTAAACTCTGTGAACAAAGAATGCATGGTGTTTATATGATTTATAAGAGGATTAAATACCACCAAATTTCTTCATTACGAATACCAGGGAGGGCAGGCACGCAGCAGGCACGCATCTCGCTTTGCTGTGTCATTATTTCAATTCAAAAGGCACTTCTCTGAAGTAAATGCTTAAGTTGCCAAAAAATTATTTAAAAAGAGACGTCAATTACGGTAGGCGAGTGGCGGCGCAAGTGGTGCAAAGCATCCAGCAGAAGGGCCAAACGGGCTGGTTTGCTTAGCTCCCCACCACGCCAGTGTAAACCCCGCCCACTTTGGGCATTCCACCCCTTCTTCTGCACTGGCTGAGCAGTGGTCACGTAGTCCACCTCTTTTTCCAAGTGGCATTTTACCTGAAATAAGACTTCACTTGAACTTACTATCATTTCATTCCTCTCTAGACATCCTCTTTTTCAGAGGGAACCATTTGCTCACCTTTCGATCTACCCTTCCAGCCTGTCAAAGTGACAGAATATCCTACTTACTATGAAGCGCTTCGTCTGTCGTTCTGTCGTCTGTCTGTCGTCTGTCGTTATGTATAGTATGTCTGTCACGAAATCCCTTAGAGTCTTTAAATCTGCCTGGAGAGGCCGGATCAAGAGTGGGATGGGTGGCCATGTCCCGAGAAGTGTAAAACACACATTACTCGGCGGAGCCCTGCCCGCAGTGAGCGTGGCGTACATCGTAATGAACTGTACTGAGGACCATGATTTCAAATTCAGTCACAAGACGGCTCCAAAAGACGGGTGTAAAGGTAGCTAGAGGTATGCCTGGTAGGTTAGATCGAACTAGGGAGACTTACCCCCGGTGGGCGGGGCGTTCTTCAAAAATGCAATGCTTTCTGAAGACATCTATAGCTCGGTTTAGGGAAAGCCAACAGAGCAGGAAAAGGTTTATGTAAGTGGAGCATTGTTGAAAGTGTCTCCAGCATAAATGGCGTTAGCGGTGGCTCGCCCACAATGGGCTGAGAGCGCATCGAAGCTCACAACGTTTCTTACAAGTCAGCATAATTCAGTTCTGAGAAGCCATGAAAAGCTTGAAAAAGGTGAATAGAAGTCGAAGAAGTAGGGGAAGCTGATGCCAATGGTGGGTGCGGCCAGCACAAAAAGAGGCGGAGTTTGCTAGCAAACTTATAGCTCGGTTACGTGAAGTCTTGGAGGCCGGGAAAAAGTGGTCAGAGACCTGCAATGGAAGGGAGGTCAACGACCATGAGCGGTTGGGGCTTGCACCAGTGTGGGTGGATTTAGTGGCGAAAATTCATAAGTTGGTTCCACGAAGCCCTAGGGATTGAGGAAAAAGTGCTTAGCTTGGGTAACGGCGGAGTGGTTAACGGCCGCGGGAGGGCGGTGCTTGCAGCAAAGTGGGCGGAGTTTGCGACGAAAATTTATAAGTTTTCCAAGATGTCCTGGAGACCGGGAAAAAAGCGGATAGAG